TTTTTTACTTTTTTATATTTATGTATTATGTAGTTGGGTTCTTGGTGATTAATGTATTTGGTACTTTGTAGGACTTTGTTAGTGTCACTGTTTCTTGTTTTGACTGAGGCTTATATAGATAGTTGGATACATATTATTATCTGTAATTTGATCCAAGCACAAAGATCTTCAGATAGAAGCTGATGATGGTAACTTTTACCAATTTAAATGGTATTTATTTCCATCTATTTTCATCTGATACATATATCTGTAATTGATTCAATGCATGATAGATGACTGTCTGAAGTTTTTTGAGACCATCTCACAAAAAACTTACAAACTTAGCAAAGATATAAGGTCATAAAACTGAAAAAGAAAATCTCATTCAGCACTGAAGAGGACTAAAAACTTACAAGTTGTTTGTTCGAAAAACTTCAACAAAAAAAAAAAACAACACAAATCTTTCACCGGAGTCCTTCAAAATCTACGTATTTCAAAACGTGAATCCTTCAAAAAACGAACTGCTTATGTGTTATCAGCTTCGAAAGATGAAAACATTCCACACAGGCTTATCAACCTTATTAGCAACTTCGAATATGCAAGCATCACCAAGTTTAAGCCCATTGCCCTTAACAAAACTTACCCACCCGGCCGATAGTCTAGCGTTGCTATTTCTCACGAGGCACTTTACAGCCCATTTTTTTCCTTCCATAGCCAAAATAATCAAATTAGCACGTTCGGGAGGCAGATTCTGTCTAGCAAACGGCAGAGACAAACACTGCAATTAACACAAAGGATAAGTTCTATTTTCTCTCATTTTTTGGGAAAAAAAAGGGTCATAATGTAATAAAAAAGCCACATTAATTGTCGACAAAAGATTCTCGGATCAATTACCAAACTGAATCCGTGACAGACTGCAGAATGCTTCATGACACTAATGTGGAAAGGGTTCTTGAGACAAGTGCTAAAAGCTGCTGCTTTTTTATATGCCGAGTTCATTTCGCTGCATTTTTCTGCATGATACATCATTTTTATCGATAACTTTACGACCACTTGCGAAAAAAGAGTTGACATACTTCTATTGAAAAAAGCTTAAGTTTGAGAGGTAACTAGAATTTCACATAATTATGCTGAGGAACTTAAAGGTTCAAGGTTAGAGATTTTCAAACCATAAGTATATTTCTCAAGCTTCACCCGGCAACTCGGTTTTCGTTGATTTTCACCATCCGATTCCATCACATTATCTTCCAATACAGGGTAGTTTATCTCGACAGCCCTCATATCGAATATTAGGACATTAAACTGAGATTTTTTATCGTACTCGAAGACTAGGAAATATCCAAAACCGATCGAGCAAAGTTGTTTGAATTCTAGCCATCCTTTATGTAGCCAAGTTGTCTTGCTACTTTTACACCGAACCAATTCTGCCTCCATTGAAGGCCCATTTGGAACCTTGAGAAAAACACGGCTCGGCAGATTATGTCCGTATCTTTTCATAAACTCGGGCGGGATTCTCTGCAACGAGCAATTATCACATATGAGTTCTTGGAAAAAAAAAAATGCACAAGATTTTTATTTTTATTTTACCCTTGGATTTTGCAGACAAACACAAACTCTGCACAACTCAATGCACACAAAAAAACTTACTAGATTGTCTGCTTGATGGTCCATTATTATCTTGAAAAACCTCGATGGCGGCTGCCGGACATCTTCTAGCATATTTCTATATTCTATAATGCAAAAGATGAGATTTTTCTGTTTCTATGGGGTTTGTTTTCAAGCTGTGATAGAACAATCTTTACCACATTATGGTGAATTTATATTAGTAATTTACAGTTGGAAATTCTTTGGTTACAGGGCCATGAAGATTGGAATACTAACAGCCTCTTTAATGAACAGTCACATTAATGGACAGTTATCTCTCATTTTAAGTGTGATGAACTAACTTCATTAGAAAACAAAAGAAAGGAAAATGCTAGCATATGGCATCCCCATAAATTCTCTTATTCAACAAATTGGACTCGTTCAAGGAGAAAATCGAGCATGTCCCTTTGAACCGATGCAGCTGGTTTGATAATTTTCAGCCATTGATGAGTCTCAATCGGTCGAGCAGAAGTCATCATCCGACTTTGGGGCAACTGGACTTTCATTATATTGCTGTTAAGTTCAAAAGACTCTATTTTGGGCTAACAGGTCGGAGGCTACATGTGTCGGTTGTTAAGAGTCTTGAGCCGAATAGTGTAGATAAGGCACTTAAGTATGCGAGAGAGATTTTGAACTGGGATGACGAGAGGACGAACATCAGTTTGAGTGAGAATTCGTTTTATAGCGCTGATGAAAGTTCGAATTCTCATTGAAGGCCCGTTGTTGTATAGAAGTCATGTTTATTGGTCATTTTTTTTTTTTTTTCCATGCAGATTATT